TCTTTTTATATTAAAATATAGTGAGCTTTAACAGTCATTGCCCCTCCCCAGCTCTTCCTGGCTTAAATGTGAAGGTCACAGTGTAAATGTCAATTTCTCAGGGAGCAGTTCCCTGAGCATCCTATACTAGACCATAAGCTCCCACATCTTATTATTCTCTCTCAGCCCCTTACAATGACTCTCCTTCTAGACCAGTGATGGCGAACCTTTTGAGCTCAGCGTGTCAGCATTTTGAAAAACCCTAACTTAACTCTGGTGCCGTGTCACATATAGAAATTTTTTGATATTTGCAACCATAGTAAAACAAAGATTTATATTTTTGATATTTATTTTATATATTTAAATGCCATTTACCAAAGAAAAATCAACCAAAAAAATGAGTTCGCGTGTCACCTCTGACACGCGTGTCATAGGTTCGCCATCACTGGCCTAGACTGTAAGGTCCTCCTCAGCCAGGGCCTGTAGATCTGCCTCACCACTGTCTCCCTGCACCCGGCACAGGTCGGCACATGGGAGCACACAATGTGTGAATGCACAACACAGCTACAAATACATTATGGATAAATACACACATTTTACATGAATTTTGAAGATAAACTGAGAATGCGATGATGTCATCATTAGCTGTCTGTCCCTCAGACACGAACCCTGCACCGATGGTAGATGTTCACAACCCCTCTCTGCTCCTAGCAGTGCTTTAGGGAATGTCTGAGAAGTCCTAGACCAGACTATGTCTTTGGTGACAGCCTAGGGGTCTTGTGAAAACACAGTAAATTAGCAAGCAATAAGGTGGTCTATGACTCTAAACAGAGATGTTAAGAGGGACTCCACTTGACAAAATTAACATTTATGTTTCAAATCCTAGGTGAAATTTTGTAAGGGGAAGTAGGAATAAATATCCTAAGTTTTATTAACAACACTGTAAGAACTTTACAAGAGGAAAAGTTTTGCCTTTCATATTAAAAGGAGAGAATGGACAAAAAAAAGTAAAGATGTTTCTCGTTCAACTTTGCAGCAGATGATAAACACCCCCACTTCATAATGACAACAAATACTGAAATAGAGCGGGCAGAAAACAATTCTGCTCGGAATATCTGACTTTGAAGCCTTCTCTCTTTTGTAGATCAAGAGACACCTATGTAGTATTTTCTGCATCAATGTGGGAACTGAAATTGGATCTGCTTCAGTTTCTCAAGTGTCTGTCATATCCAGCCTCATGCTTCAGCAGCCTGGTCAGGGTTGCTGGAAAACAGCATTTTTAAACAACAAAATACTAAGAAGCTCAGAAGGTCACTGATTGTGAGGATGAACTCGACAAAGGGAAAACTTGATGAACTCAGGCCTTTACCCACTAAATAAAAGGTCAGTGTATTTTACCAGCTAGAGCAGGGGACTTGACAGGCTACTTTTCATCATGTCAAAAACACACCCACCCAACTGTTAAAATTAGTAAAGAGGTTTCAGCTAATTCTTCTAAAATTGGATTCTCCATTTACATTTTTCTTAAACTGTGGAGACTTTCTGCCAGTACAGGTAGATTCCAAATGTCAAGTAGGTCAGTAATAAAATGCAAAGCTGGAGAGAAACTTTAAAAGAGACATTTAAAAAATGGGCCTTAGCAGAGAACTGACTGGAACACACTGTGAAAAGCTTACTTCAGTTCAGTACATGAATATTAATAGAAAAACCCTGCAGTGTTCATAAATAGTGTGATTTGATGAAATAATTACAAATGCAACTTTAAATTTGAGAACAACTACAAGTGTCTATAATGATATTCTCCCCCCCCCAAAAGCAAAAATATTTTAAAACCCTGCGGGTTTCCATTGACAAAGCTATTTACCTGAACAAAGAAGAATTCTTTGCTCAAATATCTATCACCTTCTGATTTTTTTACAAATGAAAACTGGGGAGAGAGTGCCAGAGGGAAGGGCAGCAGAGTATTTAACCATTAGGACAGCCATGAGGCCTACATCTTGGTTTAATAATGAAATAGTTTTCAATTTATCATTATTATTAAAAGGAGAGTCGTCAGTCTGGAAAAAAGATGAAGTTAAAGGTTTGTGGGTAAACAACAGAAGTTCACTGTCAGCCTGTCAAAGGCCACTAACCCCAATGAACAAACGGAGCGAGAACTGGCACCTCCACATGGCACACGTGTAATCTCAAGTGGTATGTCTCCCCTCTCACTGAAGTCAGGAAAGAGTAGCAGAGACCAGTGCGTTTCTGAGCTCAAACAGGTGAAAGCTGTCTGAAGAGAGGGCTGAGCTCTCTCATGCAGGGGTGCCAGGCACTCTCTTACAAAGACTGAGAAGGTCATTGTGCTAGAGGCTTAGGAAGTTCCGATGAGCGTTGCTAGCCTGACATCTGCCACTAAGTTCATGTGTCATAATGGGTAAGTAATAAGTATTTCACAGCCAACTGTGAGCATTAACATAATTTTTTTCTTTTTTAAGTAAACGTATTTGTGTTTGCCTCTGACAAGAGGATTTTTGTCTTTTCATTAATCACCCTCCAAAACAAGTCCACTCCACAATACAAAGTTCAACAATACAAAATACACCCTGCCTTTCCCAAATTGATGTTAACTAAACTTCTTTGCCAAACTGCAGATCCTTCTATTTCATGAGGCCAGACTTAATAAAGGAATAGCAAGGGCTTCTTATTTTAAAAAGCTTTTTGGATGAAGAAAATGGACAGTAATTTATGTAAATACACCAATCTCAATCAACTTCCCTAGTATGAAAGGAATAAATAATGCAGGTCACCGTTTTTCGGATAACGAGTCCTAACTCTTGGCCAAGGATATGGCATAGACTCTGATGGAAATATCAGGACATGCATATGGAGGTGAACGTAAATAAATGTGTGTATGATAAACATGGCTGCTGGGGATAACATAGAAAACAGGTATCCAATTGGGTGGAGATGGCTGGGACAGAGGGATGGCGGTATCTCAGGAAGTTTCATGGTCTATCTGTGACAGCACAGTTTCTATTAAGAAGGTTTAAAAAGTTAGTTCTACCTCCTCTTGGATAATTCAGAATAATGCTATCTTAGACTATAAGAGATCTGTCACAAAATACACTGTTATGTAAAAAAATTCAGGAACAAAACATGAGAAAAAATAAGGACCCTAAAGGCAGATGAATGCTTAATAAATATCTTTAAATATCTGGAGCTGTTTAAATGCTATTCGATTGGCACCTAGAACTCCAAAGTAGCTACTTTCCCCTGGGAAGGGGAGGGTATGCCTCTTCAATCATCCCTAAATGCAAAGAGGTTTGACCCCCATGCAATGGATAAAAGTCACCCAAAAAATGAACAAAAGAGGTGTTTGGAAAAACCAGAACACCATTCATCCCAGCTAACGACTTGTTCATTATGAGTGATGATGGATAAAGACTTCTCATGCTGAGATGAAATCAAGATTTATATGCATTGTTTCCTCTCCCAACTTGTGGGAAGATCATCATCATTTAATTCTATCTCTGCGGCCAGTGATGGGCATCCAGAGAGCTGGTTATCAAACGGCGCAGTCAGCTGGCAAAAGCCGAAACGTGCAGTTGGCACATCTGGACGGAGCCGCCACAGCCGAGGGTGAACAATGACTCCTGGCAAGCATCCAAATTGCTTGCAGACGCTAGCAGGTCTCATCTACAACCGCCCCTACCAGCATCTCTCTCTCTCTCTCTTTTATGAGAATCAGATTTTCATTGCTCCATTCAATTGCTCTCCTCTGCCATTTTTTACAGCTCTTATCGTTCCCCTGGAATATGGCCTTGAGACAGCTCATCCGTGTCCTTCACTGTGTTATCTCTTCTAACTTTTATTAAAACTTCAGCTTTCATCTAAAGATAGCTAATTAAATCTGGAACAGATTATATGCCTCCCCTTAAAAAGAACACAAACCTATTTTCTTCAACCTGAACAATGTTTTTCCTTTCCAAAAGATGAAACCAAAGGTGTTTAAGAAGTTTCATTTACTTACAAAGCTAAGATACCTGACATGTCATATGTAGGTTGATTTATATTAAAGATGTCTGTGGTCTGACAAACCTTTTAGCTATTTTTCAAAATAATTCTTTCTCTATATTGGTAATATTTTTTTTCCATATCCTTTAAATATCATAGCTAATGCCAGAAGCTTAATTTCTGTATAAAGTTGGGTAATGAGAAATTAGAGATTAACAGACATTTCTGTGAATCAATTGATTTATCTTTAAAAAAAATTTTTTTTACAGTTGTCCTCATTTGGTAAAAATGCATTTTTCCCTTTTATTTCATACTGCAAGCACTACAAATTAAAAGTTTCCTCCACTGAAAATTATGTGAAAACATGAAATTAGAAGAATTACTGCAAATTTAGGACTGATTTGGTTTTCAAGACAGTTTTACACCAACTAATAGTAAGCTCAAGTAGCTTTTTCTTAATCTATCACAAATTATTAATGACAAAGCTTCATCACCAATATGAACACATTCTTCTCACATATACCACTGACCCAGTACCTTCTTTAGGCTTAGGGGCAACTTAAAAATCACTTCGTTGCCCTAGCCCAAGCATGCGAGTTTGACATGCTTGTGCCAGTTTGGCTCAGTGGATAGAGCGTTGACCTTGCGGACTGAAGCGTCCCTGGTTTATTCTGGTCAAGGGCATGTACCTTGGTTGCAGGTTCAATCCCCTGCCCTGGTCAGGGTGCATGTGAGAGGCAACCAATCGATGTATGTCTCTGTCTCTCCCCCTCCTTTGCACTCTCTCTAAAAAATCAATGGAAAAATATCCTTCGGTGAGGATTAAGCAAAAAAGATAAAAATAAATCACTTTGTTTACTGTAGACCTGCTAAACAAACTTTCTAGCAGCAATATCTGGAACATCTAGAAGCCAGCCATCACACAAACATGCACATATGCACATGCAAGCACACGCATGCACACACCAAGCACTTTTAACCAAGGTTTTAGCTTATATTGCCAGGGTATAATTTAACTATGCTACCTGAAATTTTCTGAGATCCTTTTCTTCTCTTCACTGCCTTTAGCAAGATTTCTTTCATGGTGACCTTTGTGTTGTCCACCTGAATAAGGGAGAATCCATGAGCAGCATTTCTGTAGGAAAAGACAAATATTAAATCATCACCAACATTCAACCAGAGGGATGGCATATTGCAGTCTTCACTGTGTTTAAGAAAGTTTTAGTAAGTGTACATCGAAGTGCCAATTATTTTAGAAGAGGTTGAAAAAAGCTACTTCTAATAAGAGAGAGATGGAGACAGAGGCAGAAAAGCATTCTAGTATGAACAGTCCCAAGTGAAAGAGAGGTCAGAGTTATGGAAGGTTTTTCTAATTTATCTCAAATTGAATCTAATTGGTCTGTGTGGGTCACTCATACCGGCTCCCAAGCCAAATCCTGCAGCAAGGATTGACAAACGATAAACTTGGCTTGTGTCAGTAGATGTCACTGCAGGCAGACACTGCCATCATATTAAAGCTCATGGAGCCTGGGAGGAAAAATGTCATGTATGTGTTTGTGTGTATGGGGGCGGAGGCATCTGACAGCCCAAAGCAATTTAGAATAAGGAAAAGAAAATGCTCTTCTTAACTAGCCAGTAAAAGAAACACCCTATATTTATATATTTTAAAAATACATATACTCTAGGTACACTTCAGTAGGAATGTTTTAATCTACCTAGTCCTAAAAGGTCAAACAAAATATTAGCTGAAGCATAAATAATTACAAGGCAAAATACGAACATATCACTACTTGTAAGCCTGTGGCCAATGGAACCTAAGTGGGGGTGGGGTTCACATCTAGATGGGAAGAAACTGGTAAGGAACAAGTACCGTAAAAACAGAGGCCCACCTTTGTTGAGACACAACTTCGCTAAGACTGGTAATTGCAGTAACAAGCATCACAAGTACTCCTCACTATGTGTGGGCACTGGGACAAAACGGGCCAATTCCAAGAAGCTCGTGTAACAAATGGGACCCGAGTTTCCAACTATGGAACATGGGAATTGCCACAAGGAGTTTGGTTGCATTCCCATTCCCCATAAGAATCTCAAAGGGGCACGTGGCCAAAAAACATGGCAGAACTTCAGATTGACAAGGAATCTGAAACAAAAGCCAAGCCCCAAGCTAAGCCAGGGGAGAGCTCCCTGGTGGTAGGAGAGGCTGAAGGGGCCTTAGCCCTAGCTTGGACCCAACCAGGTGGCTGGCTTGCCACAGGGGCTAGGGGCTGATCTCCAAACCAAGGACCCAATTTGCTTCCCTAATACAAAGACATCTCCACACCCCTCCTCTCCACACGGCTTGCTGTTTAATCCTTGACATTCCATTTGTTAAAAAGCAAAAGCCGACGCTGGTCTAGCCAGCACGATCATCCATTTTAACTTGGTCAAGTTCTTGCTATCGAACAGCAGGCCTGAGAACTGTCAAGCTAATTTTCCTGAACACTCTGTTACTGAATCAGCCTGAGCCGCGGCCATTCTTTACCTCAGAAGCTGGACCCCATCCCAGAACAATCTTTAAAAGTTTATTTTACTGATCAAAGCAAAATAAGAAATAGCTCTTTTTTTAAAAACTATATTTAGGGAGTGATGCAGTAAGTGATACTTTGGCAAGAGTACTGAAATGTAAAGTGCCTTGTGCATTTATAAACTTGGGGGTATTTGCTCTGGCGCTAGGCCAGTGTGTGTTTGGAACGAATGCCAATCATCCGCGTTCAGACTTGCTTCCCCTGCTCTCCCCTCAGAAGCCAGGGTGCGCTCCATCTGTGACAATATGTTGGGCGATGGATGAGTAGGGCCTCAAAGGGAACACAAGTTCTCGGGTACTCACACACTGCACTGGGCTGGGTCTCACGAACTTCCATCCACCTGGGTTCCACCTGAACTATTTTAGATGTGTCTGCTTATAAATTGCTTACATTCTCTCCTAATCTGCCGCTGGCTGATAGCATTATTTCAAACCAATATGTTTATCTTTTTCAGCACAGGCAGACTAAAAGCTCAAAAGGAAGCCTTGTGTTTGGACTAACTTCCATAAATTAAAAGTGTCCTTTTAAAAGATTGTTGAGCGGGGGAAAATCCCTGGTCTGTATTTTCCTGCCATTTTACCAAAACGTACCTGGGTGACAAGGTTAGAGCGAGCCGAGGAAATCCCTGGCACTTCTCATCCACAGGCATTACTGATAAATTGTGTGGTGGAGGAATAAAGGATTACCTTCTGTATTTTTTCATTACACTTTTCTTTTGTTACAGAATACATAAATCCATTGTGGCACAATGTAATATGTATCACCATGCTACACCTGCGGACGCTTCCGAGCGGCTGCCATGTCTGTGCAGTCAGGAATGATAAGTGAACCACCCGTGAATGTTAACGATAGTGATCATTCTGAGGTAACTCGGCTCTCCATCTTCCTTTACAGCCTCCGTGCTGAAGCCAGGGTAGCAAGGTTCACGAGAGGAAAATGAAAACAACAGTGAAGGGAAGGGGCACGCACGGCTCGGAATGTGCCTTCTCGGGTGCGCGCTATCTTCCTCTGGGGCTCCATTGCGGTAAACACGTGCACATTAAAAGGAGAGCGGGGTTGCGACCCACACACTGCACACTCGGGCAGACCTAATGAAAGTCTCCCCGGGTCAGTCTCGCACCCCACACTTCTCTCCCTTCAGATGGGTGCCAACTTTGGGCCCTGTTCCAAGTCTACAGCACTTACGGGGTAAAATGTCTCTAAAACACAAGAGTACAGAATGGAAGTGCTTCTCAGAACCCATCGAGGTGCAACTGTTAAGTTCCGCTCTCATTTAATAAATGGATAGGGAGACTTGCTACCACAATTTTCAGCTTGACTTCCAAACATTCTGAGTTTTATGCCTCATTTCTTCATATCCAGGATTTTTTATGGGCTTTCTAAAAAGTCTATTGAAATACATCTTTTAAGGCTGCTTTTACTCAGTGCTGAGCATTGGGCCTGAGATTGAGAAGACCAGGATCTTAGGGGAAATGCTAGTGGCAGGTGGGAAGGGCGCTCATCCTGCCTCCCTTTCTCGTGGCGCTGCATTCCAGTCTTGGAGTTGTGACCTGGGATGGTGGAGACTAGCCCGCAGATGGACAGGTGGATGGTGGACAGGCACATGGGCCGCAAACCCAGAGTCTTGACTCAGAAACTGCTCCTCCTCCTGCTCCTCTTGTGGGTAGACGGCCTGTTTTCTGCCAGCGCAGGGCACCCTAGGGCACTGCCACTGAGAAGCAGCTGCCCTGCCGCAGCTCCCTGGGCTGCCTGCGCTGGGTGTAGACTGAAGTGCCACTTCAGGGAGCTGACTAAACGGCCAGGAGTGCTTCAGTCAATTCAAAGTTAGGTCCTGTCAAGTCTCGTAACCACTGAGAAACGTATGGGCGTTTTAAAAAGAGATTTCTCACTTGAGGAATTCAGCGCTGTCCCAGTGCAAAGCCAGTTACCAGCAGGAAGTGTTTATACCAGCATTAACCTAACACAACAAGCATTTCTCTACTAAGCACTAAACTAGAAGTGATGGGGCACAGAGGGGAAGCAGGGGCACAGGTCTTTATCTAAAAAGCTTATTTATAGGGAGCGAGCTAGAACCAGAACCCAAGTTGGAAGGCAACATTTTAGAGAGGAGACGCATGGGCTGGGAGTTAATCCCTTTGGTTCCAATCCTGGTCCCATGGCTAACCGAATATTGCCTCAACATGTGGAACCTCAGCTGCACCCGTGAAATGAGGAGGGCACTTCCCAACACAACTGTCAGGAGGATAAAATGGTCAGTGAATGCCAAGCACCTGGCACCAAGGCTGGCAAACAGTACAGGAGTTTATAAATGTTCGTTTTCTTATGTTCCCCTTGTCCCAAGTCACCACTCCAAGAGAAGAGGCCCACTTGTTCCCTATTCCCTAGCCCCTCAGTAGAGATTGCTCATTTGGGAGGATGGATCTGAACCCTCACAGTTTTGTGTTGTTGTTTTCTTGTCTATTTATTTTTTAGTTGATTTTAGGGAGTGGGAGAGAGAAACATAGATCATTTGCCTCCTGCATGCCTCAACCTGGGTATGTGCCCTGACTGGAGATCGAACCCGTGACCTTTCAGTGTATGGACGACACTTCAACCAACTGAGCCACACAAGCCAGGGAAACCCTCACAGCTTTTTAATCGGCAACACAGGGCCATTACAATGTGCAGTCTGCTGGGCATGGTGGCAGTATGCCCGGCACTATCAGCAAGCAGCCTCTCTCTGGCCCAGGCATCAAACCCCCTTGAAGCTCACAGGAGAGCACTCTAGGCTCCATTGTCAAGGTTTTCCTTTTTGAGAGAGGAAACGAGAAGCAGGCGTGTTCCACCTCAGCTTAACTCATTGGCTTTGGATGGGGATGATGGAAGTAAAAATCATGGTGGTACTGCAGAGATTCAATGGGACTAAGAGCCTTTTGATCTGAAAAGCACAAGATATTATTCAACAGTTATAACAATAATAGCAGCAGCTACTATCTGTTGAACAATTACTATGTGCCAGATGCTGATTAAGCTTTAAAAATCTACATTAACTAATGCAGATTTTACTATTATTACATCCATTTTATAAAAACTAAGTCTGGAGGCATTAGGAAATTTACCTGTGGTCACTCATCTATTAAAGACCCTAATTTGGATTCAGAAATCAACAATATGATTCCCAACCCAACTAGCACAGTCCAGTGGGAGAGAAAAAGAAGCAAACCAAGAATTATAGTTCTGTGTGATGAGCGCAAAGATGGAAGCCAGCTCAGAGAAGTGGAAAAGCACAGGGGCACTTAACCCAGCGGGTAGAGGTGAGGGGGTCAGAAAAGCTTCTTAGTGGAGAGGTCTCAAATCACAGTCATCATTTAGCTCTACGCCATGCTCAGAAAGATGGTTTACCAGGAGGCAGTGAAGTAAGCTCTACAACGGAGCCCGCTATGGAGTCCTAGCTCTGCCTTCCTTGGGTAAATGATACAATCTCCCTAACTTTCAGTCTCCTCATCTACAAAATATATTAATTTTAGACTGTAAGACTAGTGTGAGAGCTAAATACTTCTAAAGTAGCTAACACGATACCTGTATATAAAAA